TCTCTCATTATTTGTGTGCTTATTTATAACCGCATGGCCTTCGAATTTCTTTTGGAATCGATGGCTCACATCTTGGCTACCTGGTCTTTTGCAGGTTCTTCAAAACCGATATGTCACGCCTAAAGCTGAAGACTATAAGTATAGTCCCAAGCGTGATAATGCAGCTCAGAAAAAACGAAGTGGTTGAGGTGATCAGTTGAAAAAGATATACCAAGCTCGCGAAAGTTTTAAATGAAGGGACAATTCATAGGATCTATAATCATGTTCATAAAGTCTTTTATTAGCTAAAAGTTTCGTTGAATTCTGGACAGTCACTAATGTCAACCCATGTTCATCGGATTCAGTGTGTATCATTGAGAATGCGTGAAACACTTGTGAACATACCGTAACAAAAAGGAGAACAGGAACGAGGGCGTTCATCTCTGTGTAATGATTACTCTTTCGATCCGAGCATTTTTATGCGAGGCAAAATTGCACTCTCCAAAAGATGACGATACTATGTTTTCAACTGATGGGGTGATCGGGAAAAATCCAATTACCGGGTTGATGCGCTTTGTCCAAACACAATGAATTGCTTCGTAACTTCAGCTAAGCCAAATTATTTTGTACTAATGTGTTTCGACTACCCTTAGTACTAATGCCCTTCGATTGCCCAACAGTGAGGAGGAATCCAAATTGGCTGATTTATTCTGATTTCGTCGCATTCTCAACCAGCAACGTGTCATAACGTGTGTTTGATAGTGGGTTCGATATCCTTTCATAATCTGCCGTGCAAATTCAAGTCGGCCAACCTTTGTAAATTCTTCTCTTCATTTTCCACACCGTCAGTCGCAAGAAAACAAAGATTTATCGAGCTCTATCCTGCGTCCTCCAGTTTGTATGCAATTCCTCATGCGAATCACTAAAAAGCACACTGAACGTTCAGCGATTTTGCCTTCTTCTGAGGGCGGAAACGTCTTAATTTGCAACCTAGTCCGATTAGAAATTATGGTGGATATTTTTACAACCACACTGTGTAAATGCCTTAGCGGAAGTTACGAGACAATCCAATGTGTTTGGACAAAGCACATCAACCCGGAAATTGGATTTTTCCCGATCACCCCATCAGTTGAAAACATGGAATCGTCATCTTTTAGAGAGTGCAATTTTGCCTCGCATAAAAATGCTCGATTCGAAATAGTAAGCATTTTACAGAAATGAACGCCTTCGTTCCTGTTCTCCTTTATGTTGCGGTACGTTCATAGATGTTTCACGTATTCGCAATGATACGCACTGAATCCGATGCACATGGGCCGACATCAGCACTGTACAAATTCAACAAAACTTTTAGCTAGTAAAAGACTGCATGAACATGATTATAGATCTCACAAATTGTCCTCCTATGCGAAGCTTACCCGAGGCCAATATACCTTTTATGAATTGACGACATCGGCGACCTCACCTTCGTCAAAGCTGTCTTGTCGTGCTCTTTTCTTCTTAGCACCGTAGCGTGACAAAACGGCACTGGAGAAGGCTGAAGAAGGCGACGTGGCCAAAAGTCGGAGACTGATGACCAGATACGAACCTCATGCACACTTTATTCAATTGACAGTTCATTGAAATGTTTTTCACTTTCATTTTACCTGCCGAGTGGCATTCAAAGATGAGTACGGTTTCCAGGCCTTTGTCACCTTCGTGAAAGTTTTCTTATTACGTCAAAGAATGATTTTGCTCACCACTGGTCCATGAGAAACCCTGTTTCATCTTTTTTGTCAAGGCACTTAGTTTGTTCTTGAGATTGCATTTTCGCTCAGAAAACGTGAGATCATTGCCTTTCGTAACTATGGTGTTAAGTCAAGGATTTTGATAGTACAAAATCAATTTCACCTTCAAACCCTTCACGGATTTTGCTCCAAGCTATCCTATCGTCATAATGCTCGCCGAGTGACACGAACGCTAACCAGTGACTTGCATTTCTTTCGATTTTGTGCGACAGCAGCTCAGTGAGTCTTCCTTGCCTTATGAATTCGCTTATGTCTAATCTCTAGTTATTCGTGAAAAAGCTGAACTATCAAGTCGCGGTTGTGATGTGGTCGTTTGACATTTCGAAGAAGCCGCTGTGTTACGACTCTCGTCTGCCGGAAAGCGTCCTGGCTTCCTATCTTTTATAACATTTGCGAGATATAATTTACTACTTTCTTCGGGCATATTTAGTAACGTCAGACTGGCCTCCATCTATCTCACTTAGCAACCATGTTTCGAATGTTCGTGTTGAGTAGAAAAGGTAACGCGGAGTTGGGTGTTTTTGTTCTTTTTGCAACTATACTCTGAGGCTGAAAGGATAAAGCCTTAGGCGTTGATCAAATTTGAGAAATGCCAATGCATGCGTTTTCAACAAGCATCGTTAGTGGTGATTGAATGGAAATTCGGTATTTACAATGACAGCGGTGGCTTGCTCATGTAACATGTCAATGCTGCTGACTTCACAGGATTGTTTGCCGTGAAGTCATCGGTCTCGGGACGATGCAAGGCTCGGTGAGCCTTTAGCGCAGGAGCAGTTCACCGACGAGCGACTGATCTACTTTGTCGCAAAGTATCACTAACTGCTTCTGTACACGCTCTTCTACCTTTATACCATATGAAATCACACAGGTGAAATTCCCTTCTACTCTCACTTTGAACACATTATTAGATAGTTTCACAACTTTTTCAATATGCTGAACCGAGATTTCTATTATTGTATTTCCCCTATTCATTGCATGATTTAGTATTTATCTCTTTTTACGGAAGTCGCAGAATATTGGTTGGGTATATCTTCTTACAATCTTAAAGATACTCGGGTGCTGCCTTCCTTAAGCCGTTGAGTAATGATTAGTGGTGGATGTAAGGGATCACGGGATCAATCTCGCGTCCACCAAACATCACCAATCACATCGTCCACCCCCACCCTCATGTGCTTCACTTGTGAAAATCTAGTACTTAAATATAAACCCGCTCAAATGTCTAGCTATGATATCAAATCTATTTCGAAGTACTAGCGCGGAAGAGGTCATCGATGTGATGTTAGACACTGTGGATATTAAACCTTACTCGAAGCAGAAAATCAATATGAGATATGACGTCATATATAATGTTCAGATACTCTCCTTTTCTGCTCATTCCTAAACTTTGGAATTTGTTCAAAGAGCCTCAAGAGATTTGCTCGTAATGGCTTTGACTCTTGCACCAATTTTTTCAAGCATCTCAGAGTCATCATTAAGAGTGATGTCTCTCTGTTCAATGTTTTTGAGGGATACTCGTCAGATATTTCAACCTTCTATCTCTTTTGATCATGAGTATATCGAGTTATCTGGTTGATTCGCCTATTTATTGGTCAATACATATGTAATAGGATATTAGATGTATATGACCGATATGTATGGAATTTGTATGTATGTATGTATATATGTAGGTGAGTGTGTGTGTATGTGTGTTTGGATAGGTATGTCTCTCTATGCGATGTCTGCCTAGAGGAGTAATTTTCCAACTTTTTCACTTCCCATCCGATTCTTTTATGTGGACATACAATTATCTCCTACTTTCGCTTCATCAATACATGTAGAATAAGATATTAGGCATAACGTGCCTGAATTCTTGCGGTTTCGGTCTACAACCTGAAGTGTTAGGATATAACAATGTGGTTAGGTGTTTCTATTGCTGAACTATCGATGAATAACGAAAGACTCATTACAAATATTCTTAGCTCAGATATGATTTATATTAAACAGTTCAACTTTGTATCCTAGTTAGAAATGACCATTGTTGAGAAGCAGAGCTGTCCTGGTCATCAGACCAAGACGGTTAACTTCTCGAGGACATAACGTTAATAAGACTATGATGGAGCAAGAAGGAAACTTATTGCAGTAACAAAGTACTATTGAGCTGGAAGAAAAATGCTAAGGCTCTAGGTTTTGTAATACACCTATTATACGCATTTCTGTCTCACCCTTCAAAATTGAGTTTAGGCCTATATCCCACATGCTGTTGTTTCTGATAAGTGCGGCAAGAGATTTCCTAATGGACATCTTGGAATCGGTATGAACAATTCTGTTTATAAGGTTGTCGCTAGAAGCCGAAACGATGTTCAGGCCAAAGAATCGACTTGTATGCAGCTCCAAGTGAAAACTTTGGAAGATTTCACGTCGACATACTTGGAGAAAACAAAAGTGATATTCTATTCCACTTTAACCCTCGATTTGACGAAGGATCGGTAAGTTAATCCTTCTCCACAGAAAAGGTGAGGTAATTGCTGGTAGTTCGAAGAGATGTTATGACCCGCTTGCAGACTGTGATGAATTCCTTCATAAATGGAGAGTGGCAAGCGGCAAATACCTATATTTCCAGCGAAGGATTTTTCCCTTTTCAAAAGGGTCGAGGTTTTGAGCTGTCTATCAGAAGTGAAGAGAAAGTGTTTGAGGTCAGTCCTTTAAAGCATATAAAAATTCCTAATCGAATAAAGAATGGTGCTTTAATGTGACACCCTAACGTATTCGATCCATAGAAGGACGTCGCACTGAGTCTACGGCGAGAGCAAACTCCAACCGTAGATTAGCCGGTAAACGAGCGTGTTGGAGATGTAAAACCCCGTCTTAATTTTCTTGTTACGTTGCAGGATTGGTCTTCCCAGAAAATAAGTGCGGCGTTGGAATCGCAAAACTTACGCTTACGCTATCGATTGATAACCAGTAGTCCAAAGGAGGAACTACGTCCTGCGTGAATTATGAAAGTGTGAAACAAAAGCGTTTTTTCTTTGCTGAGGCGTTGTCGAAGGACTTCTTCGAAAATGGCCACGTATCGAGCTAGCTAGAGATTTGAGCTCATGCATGATTACTAACATTCTTATGATAAAATCTTGTCCAGCGAAGAGGATCGTATCGTCATCCCTCGACGTTAAACGGAAAAGTGCTATATTGTATATGAGAAACATATAAATAAATAATAATAACATAGAGGCGTTGAAGAATGAGTGGTGACGCAAATGTGCCTTGGTGGTGTAGTGGTAGAGCATACGTCTCTAGATAGGACGAAACGCGGGTTCAATTCCCGTCTGAGGCCATGTTTTTGCTCGCCACTAAATTCTCCTAGGAGAATAAGTAAATAAGTTAGGACACTAGAAAGGATGCTTTTTATATGTTTCTTTTTACTACCATATCAGCAAAAAAGAAATAAAACGGCTGACTCATATTTGCACAACTAATAACTCCATAATTTTCGACTTCTATATGCTGAGAAATTGTTCCATTTGTAACTTTTTTTTTTCTAATTTTATACTCATACTACACAATTAATCGTCTGCTCTTATTGGCGATTCAATCCTCCATTGACAACCCTGATATCATAACCAGTCCTTATCTTCAGATCTTTTTGGACGGCATTAATAGATACGTATACAATCATCGTACCTCGAATCCTGCAGAGGACTATGTCTGTGTGGGTGTGGGCGGCGATATTGACATCTTCGCTCTCGAAGCCCGCTAAACTCGGCTCTTCATGCGAGCACATCCTGCTGCTAATCTTTTGAATTTCATTTTTTTTGTAATGAAAATTTTCACCTGACCCATATTAGTGTTAGTGCTAGATTTCTCTGTTATGATTAATACTGCAAAGATAATAATCTATCTCTATTCGATAAACTTTTCACAAAGCTGGTTCTTCTTTGTTCGAAATCAGTAGCTGATGTATTGACGACTTCGCCCCCTCCAGAGCTTCAAATATCTTTGTAACATTCTTCGTAATTGCGGCTTTTCATTCTACATGAGTAGGTTCCAGTGGAACCGCTCCTACGGTTCATAACGTCACCAGCTCTATGCTTTTTTTTTTATCTCGCTCGGAAAGTATAACCCTTTGCGGACCGCGTCATTTTCAGGTGGCGCGCGATTGAATGGCTACGATGAAAGGATGCCGGCGCGCTCTTTAATGATAGTATGGTAATTTTTTAATAGAATTTCAATAATTTTCTCTTATAAATGGGGTGCTGTATCAGTATGTTGTCAAATATGATAAAGCAGATTTGAAAAAGGTCATTTTTGTCAGCAATAACGTAATTGCTTCATTTATGACCATACTTTCAAGGAGAAAAAGGAAATATTTTTGGAGAGGATATATTCAGAACCTTTATCAAACACTCCTATGATATCTCGTTTCAAGTACTTTCTTAAGACCGCAGCTCAAATTTTAATATGCCAAATAATCATTTTTGAGCCACGCAAGTCATGTGGTCGTTGAGATGGGCTGTCTTATAAAGCCCGATGCGCATGTTTGACCTTGCGGTCTCGTCACTCGGAAAGTTACCCTTTCTCGACCGCAAGGTCGAAACACGTGTATCGGGCTCTATAAGTCAGCTCATCTTAACTAACTTCTACGATATTTTATTTACGCCTATCCATAATTCTTTTCAGGAATACTTTTATAGAAATCCTCGTGATAAAAATTTGATTATTTTTGACAAACAAGTTCATAAAAATCAAAATCTACCTACTTTTTAGCAGAAATTCGGCTTAAATTAGAGAATTTGAATTGCTCTTGCAAAACGTCATCGTTTAATTATTATTAGAATGAACTGTGAAATCATTCAAACAGTATGCTTAATATTACAATCGGAATTTTTAAGCTATCGATTGGCAGTGTCTCCCTGAGAACCTAAACTTTCTTGGGAACACGCAGCACTCTTCCTAACCGTCCGAACGGCGCGGACTGCTAAGAGTCATAATGATCCTCAACGTGCGCAAAGAGATAGCCTCATTTACGAAAGAATTACTGTATGTACCTGAAATGTCTAGATCGAAAGCAAATTTTCTTAAGTGTTCTCAGAGTCTGCTGTTGATGGGTTTCTCCTTAGATATAGATGGGTCGTTAGACGTTAGATCATCAGTGGACACTGACTTGTGCTCTTACAACTAAGTATGAGACGGGACATGTTGGCGATCGGATTTCCAATTAAAAAATGATAAATGGTCTTAAACCCGCCGCTTTTGCCGTATGGACCCACTCATTGTTTAATTCGCGGTGCTGCCTTGTGAGTTCCTTTACAAATGATGATCTGTGAAGCCTAACATCTTCGAGATGCTCTTTCGTTATTTAACTGTCGAGAAACCACTACGAACTCGCTACCCTTATCACTGACGGATGGTCCTGTGCTTTCTTTCTTTATCAATTTCGAATCTCTTTCATTCCACGCTTTCGTAGTTCGATGAGGTTCGAAACCTTTTAGCGCGATAGTGAATAAGAGTTCAAAGTTTCGTCCTCAAATTGGCGTAATTTTCAATCAACATCCTCGTTGGGGTCTTGTTTTCTATAGAACGGCTGAGCAAATGGTAGCATTGATATTGATCATTCCTATTGATTTCTTCACCTTTGGCCTTCTTACGGATTCTATCTTGCAGTTAGTGTAAGTTACATGCAACCCTACGCAATGATACCTTAGATAAGGGTTGAAATGGTAAGAAGCTTAGACACAAATCTGATAGCGGACGCGCACTATCAGGGAGAGTTATGCCTCTCAACACAGTGACCCTGAATCTCTTGGTTTATTATTTGCCCTGATATGACTGCTTGATCTTCGTTAGCGGTATTCGTATGCCTTTTTCAAAATCATGTTATGCGACCTACTCGAAAAGTCATTGAACTTTTTTCGCAAACTAACTTGGCATCCAACCTATTGGAGTTGAAAATTAGCTTAACCCAGCAAATATTCTTCTCTAAAGTGAGCACTAGCACAAAAGACTCGTTTTTTTACTAAAAAAGTAATGGATGTGTTTACGTTATTGGATTGTGTAGATCCTGCCCTTTTCAAGCTCTAATGAAGGCAAACTGGCGAAACGTCAATTGTTGAATAAAGATTAATGTAACACCTCCTGTCTGGCTTGAGAAGGAAGTTACGAATTATTGAAGCTGCCTAGATTAAAAGATAGTCGGTCTTGGAATTTGCTGCAAAACTTTCAGTCTCAGCTATGAAGTTAACCCACGTTTCACCTACACCTGGAGCAGTGCTACAACTACACCATCAAGGCCTTTGTTCTCTGCTAATACTCTGCGCGGTATCAAAACTGTCTGCCACTCATCATTCTGGCTTCGATACTTCATATGGCAAAAGGAAAAATAACAGAGCCATAGACTCGTTCCTTGAAAGATCACTGTAGTCGAAATTTTATAAAATATTTATAGCAACATACGTTAATTCGAGGAAGCAACAGTTATTCGGGCCCAGCTGCAGCAGATCAAATCTTGTAAAAAGATTTGCAGATTCTCGATATTTAGAATTCAATAAGAGAAATCCAGTATGACATGGGATATGTTAATGTAAACATGGAAGCGATGAATATCTTGTCATAACAACATGTCATTTTGTGCTTACACCCGTCTACAAGATTGTTCATAATCCGCAATAACTAAAAAGAGCTAATTTCTTTTCCGCTTGCAATCGCAACAAAAAATTTGCTCGGTACTTGCTTGAAACAATAGCAATGTTCTTTACGCATCACAAAATGGCCGGTGAGCGTTGAAGTGATATGGATTATAGAAAGGTAACTTTTGCTCAAAGTTACTCAAGCGTCTAATCGTATAGTTACTCTGGCTGGCGACATTTAAGCCTTCTGTGGTCTGCCAACATGACGTTGATTTTAGAAATAATTAGCCAAATTCGGCTGCATCTTCAGAGACTTTTCTATTGAAGGGTTTCTGTTTGCATTTGTCATGCGATGTGACCAATTTGGGATAAATACGGCTACATTCGACCATCGAACGATACTCAATAATGTGGACCGGTGTGCTTTACGTTTGCGTCAGCTGGGATTCGAACCCGGATCTCACTCTTTTCGGGAGCGCATGCTGGGATGTTGCACTACCGACGCTCGCTTTGCACACCACTTCTTTTAAGCTTCAACGCCTTATCTGTCAACAGCCAATGGTCAACGGTGTGGCATGAGTAGTCGTCATCGACATTGAACCCACTCATGTTGACAGATATTGGGTATCAATAATCAACAAAAAATCATTTTATTTGACCGACACGTCTAGCAATACAAAGAAAACACGTTTGCCCTATTCTTTTAGTTAGCGTAATTTGTTTTATATCTCATTCCTTTGTTCAACTTGATCTCTCTCGCTCTTACGGTACGTTAGCAAGCCTCTTATTCATCTCAGACCCACGGCATGTTTAGAAAGAGAATAGAAAAGCCTATATTCACTGGTTTTAGTGTTCATCGTGATCATTCTTTTTCCCTAGATGTTAGCCGTCTGTCCACATTCTTCTAAACTCGTCATTCACGTAATGAAGCAGAACGTTGAGCTATGAACTTATATGACATCATTGCTTTCAGCTGTACAATTTGTACAAGCTGGTGGATTGAGTCAGCGCTACAAATCTTGCACAATAGTCATGGATTGTATACAGTTTTAAAGTGTATATACATTAGTACCTTAGTGTTTTTTGTGTTGTGATTATTAATACAAAGGTTTAACTAACCAAGTTTGAGCTGTTAGTTCATACAATACCGGCCCGTTTCCGTCTTCATAGGTGGTCCGAGCGATTGCAAAAAGAGAGATAATCTATGGGAAATTTTTGAGTCACAATGCTTTTTCGGGATATGATGTAATCAGATTTCTACTGGCTTCAAATAACGTGTTCTTGACGAAAATTGCATCGTTACGGCTGCAGTGGAGAACTTCTTCACCAATTTATCGAGATAACGTAAACATTTCCACACATATCGACCGTGAAAATCGGCTCTTTCTAGCCGTAGAGTGATGTTTTTGATGGTATTCTGTCAGATTTATCCATTTTTAGAAATCCTTTGTGGAATACTAGAAGGTTGTGGCTGTAGTGATCGGTGGGTGAGAATGCTATATGAATGGCACCAAGTTTGTTCTGCGCGAATATACCTTCTAAATTGATAGATATTCTTTTTTGTACAGTACGTACTTCAGACGTACCAACGGTGCGGTGTTTGGCCAATTTGTATAATATGATTTTGAGAACGGCTGTTTCCATTTTGCTTCAACTTATACTTTTTTGTTTATTATCAACGACCCCTCTCTCAACTGTAGTTGAACGGTCACCACCAACTGAATTTTTGGATGACTTCATGTGGTTTTGAAGTGGTATATTTTGCTAAACTGTACTCCTTTTCTCTTTGAAGTGAAAGAAATAATCATCCACACTTTTATTTATTCCTATAAGTTAGTACGCTTTGCATGTAAATCAAGCGCAAAGTTCGGCACGTTCATGACGCATTATTGCTAATTGCGCAAGCAACAGCAACATCTTCCACATAATTTTTTTTGTAGGCTGACTTGAGTCCCGACTTGAATAGGACGTTTTCAGTTTAGTCCAAACACTACTCACTCACCCCTGTAAAACTTATAGGACTCATCTCGCAACCTCAACGAAAGTGGTGATCAGTTATGTGAGTTTATTTGAAAGTTTACTTCCCCATACAATTGTTGACCTTCTCTGCAGGTCCAGTTGAAGCTCTTATGAGATAGTTCTCCATTTGTGTAGTTTTATACATGGGAACAACCTACATAGACTACTCTGGTGAGTGATAGGAAACATATGAATATAATGAGGAAGAATAAATGCAATGCTCCACGAAATCGCATCGGCCACCTTGTATGTGTCGCAGAGCACAACTAGGCACTGAGCCACATGCCCTCCTAAGTGCATATAGCACATTTTATTGTTATTTAATTATTGAAGGAGTTTCTTCTTTGACGAGAAGGGTTAATTGTCTTCGTTGAATAGCAGATAAGTATGATAACAACCATGAAAAGAAGGAGTCTGGAAAGAATGGCGTTTAAGCATTTCTAGGTTTGCTATTTAAGGGCCATTTGTTGTTAGGCCACGTGTTGTCAAACATCGGTGAAAGAAATGTGAAGGGGTTTGATGCTTTTATCCCCTTTCTTTCAATGATCAATTCTCGGGAGATGCGCCATGCGATTGACTTCATCAAGTTGAATGAATGCATTTTTTACCAGCATAATGATTTGCGGTGGCCTACTGACCTATCAGATCAGTTCTGCTATACTCCCTGACAAGCCTCGTAAAAAATCGCCAATCCGGAGTGACCAGAGGTTTGGTGAGCCGTGAGCACGGGATCGAAGCATCGACCGTGTAAGTGTCGCAGAGCACCTCTGACCATGCAACAAACGCGCTTTGAGCAACAGTTACAATTATTAATACTTACCATGCGGCAAAACAGTGCCGAAATATATCACACCTTTTGTTTCGAATGTTCTTAAGACCACGCTTGAATTTCGATATGTCGGATAATCACTTTTTGACCCAAGTATGTGGTCTGTTATATAAAGCTGAGTTATAGAGCCCGATACACGTATTTCGAACTTGACAATGACTTGACTCAAAAAGTGATTATCTGGCATATTGAAATTTGAGCGTGGTCTTAAAAAAACACTCGAAACGAAAGGTTTGATGTTTTAGCGATACGAGCTAAGAGCTGTATAACACTGCCTTTTCAGTGATAATTTCACTAGACACTGTAAAATGTTCGTCGTCGCCTACTCGTAGCATAGGGGACTGAGAGAGGATCAACAAAAGACGAAAAGGGTACCGCACGACTGATGAACTGTCAAAGTCAAAACACGTTTATTGGACTCTACAAGTCAGCCTTATGTAACAGTGCTGGATTAATTAAACATTGTTACTCATCTGGGCACAAGTTGATTTCTTTCCTACACTTGAAAATCGAAGCATACAGCGCTCATCGTTATTAGGATTTACTAATTATGTGCCATACATCCGACTTTATCAAATACTATTTGAAGAAATCCATAGAACCTAACTATCGAGTGACCCAGTGTGTGCTGTAGTGCACCCCTCATCACTTCGAGGCATTCATTGGGTTCATCCTAGTGTATCAGCTCCGAACTAGTTACGATTTCTTTACTCCTGCTTGCAAAACATAGCGTTTGGCTGGCCACAAATGCTGACCAGTGCTTGTAGTAACGCGACTTATATAGGCTTAACATGCTTATTCTATACCCTAAGGTGCAGTTGAACATGACTTGCCCATACAATTAGTCTGCGAAGCTAACGAAATGTCAGCCGTCGATTTCGATGAAAGAAAATGAGCCTTGCAAAAGTTTTATTTAGTAAACGAACGTTTGTTATCTTGATATTAAATACCATATCGGAGAAGTGGAGCATTAACACTATTGTAGGTCAGATGAACAGTTATTTTTGGAAAAGAAACCCAAAAAGGTAGCAATGGGAATGTTTGCATGGAGAATCGAGCTCATTCAATGTCAAGAGCATAGGTTTGAACGTCGCGATTTCTTTCAAGCGTATTTCTTTTTGCCATTCTCCATCCACGCGTTCATCAATCACAACCTGTGAATGCGTCGTATCTCCTCACATTACCTAACGCCGTGTATTCTTTTGTGTCAAGAGTAAAATTTTGACTAACTCCAAAGCTCACATTTCCCTCATTGAGGCGAGGGTTGAAGTGGAGTAGAATATCATTACCGCTTGCTCCGAACATATTGAGATGAAATTGCTGGCCCCTTGGAGCTTCATACAAACGATCTTTTAGCCTGAACAACGTTACATCTTCTTAGAGACAAACTTGTAAGAGAGCTATGAATACCGAGCCTAAGAGATCCACCCGGAAATTTCTTGAAGTAACTTTCAGGAGCACCAGGTAAAATATGAGCCCAAATTCATTTATAACATAAGACAAGAAAGAAAGCTTTCGTATATTCGTTGTCATTAGGTAACATAGATTATCAGCTCAGTCCTGCTTCCCTAGTACTTTATTAGTGCGCTAGGTTTCCTTCCTGACTTGTCAACGCCTTGCCAATGCTTTTCCAAATCCCTGAGAGGTAGAGCGCCCTGTGATTATGTCTGGTCCAAGCTGGCTCTCACGTTGGTTACGCTAACCAGAATACGAAACTGGACTGCTGAAACTGAGCTAGTTCTGAGGCTGAAATTTTTGCTAGTTGATAAGTCTTCTTTTGTTTATGATGATTCAGCATCATGAACACCTTATCACGCTGTTACCTCCTACCACTCTAAACGGAGACTGTATGAGTTCAGTATATTATACCTAAGATCTTCATGAACATACAGTCTGAATATCTGTACACGAAACGAGCAGATCACTTTTTACCCTCGTAAAAAATCTAGATATAAAGCCGAAAAATCGGGCAAGTAATTCTTTAGGTACACATCGGGAAGAGAAACGCACGATGATAACTCTTAGGTGGTAGGAAAGCTTGGGGCAAGAGTCAAAAGCTTCGGAGCGCAAAGCCCTCAAGGTCTTTAGATAAATATCGAAAGTTCAGGACTGAATAGAAAGGAAGAGTATCCAAACATCACTGATAAAATGGTAACCTGTTCATCATACTTAGTGTGTGGCAACACACTGGACCCTATCGTGTAAGCAATTGAATGGTATAATTAATATCAAAACTAGACAACTGTATTAATGTTTGCACCAGATTCTTAGAGCTGGAGGAATGGGGACGGTCGTGGACGAAGTAATCAGTGACTCTTGGCACGAAATAATATTTATCCCGTCCCTTTTACATTATTCGCTTATCAATAACGAAATCTCCAAAAGTCCCAGTGCGGCTATGTTTGAGACTTTAAGATCTATTCAGTCAGTATTTCACAACATTCATGAGGGAAGGCAAAATTTCCATCCAGGCATTGAATGCGAGGAGATGTATTAAATGCTGGAAGTACTGGGCTGTGCACAGAGAAGAAAAAAAGTTGTGATAAGGATGAAATATAGTGACACAAGTGAAGGTTGTAGGAAATTTCATTTCAATAAGTTAATCTGGTATGAAATAGGAACGTGTGTGTCGCAGTGGTTAGAAGTGCTCTAGGACG